CCAGCCCCTCACTGGGGGATTCTAGGCAGGGGCTCTACCACTGAGCCACACCCCCAGCCCCTCACTGGGGGATTCTAGGCAGGGGCTCTACCACTGAGCCACAACCCCAGCCCCTCACTGGGGGATTGTAGGCAGGGGCTCTACCACTGAACCACATCCCCAGCCCCTCACTGGGGGACTGTAGGTAAACATTCTACCGCTGACCAGCATCCTCAGCCCACCAACACTTCCCCCTTCCCAGCGTTTTTGAGATAGTCTCACTGCGTGACCCAGGGCAGCCTGGATGACATGGTCCTCTTACCTCCCTCTCACAAGGGCTAGGATGGCAGTCCTGTGCCACCACGCCTCGCTGCAGTCCTCAGTTCTGAGAGCGACGTAGGTATAGATAGTTACCTGGGCAGCATCGGCTGACAGCCTCTCCTTATCTGGTGCCCACCCTGAGGTGAAGGGTCACACACACCCCTTCCTCTTCCTCACCTTCCTCCTCCCTTCTCCCAAGCAGTCACCTCCTAAGTTCTGGTCACTACCCTGTGTCCTGGGTCTCCCCCATACCCCCCTCAGATGTGTCCACTTGACTCCCTCTCCTTCTTTTTCTCTCTCCTTCCTTTCTCCTCAGACACCCCCCAGGCCTCTCGAGATGTGGGTCCGCTGGTGTGGGGGGCCGTGGGGGGAACATTGCTGGTGCTGCTTCTGGCTGGGGGGTTCCTGGCCTTCATCCTGCTGAGGGGGAGGAGGAGGCGGAAGAGCCCTGGAGGAGGCGGAAATGATGGCGAGAGAGGATCCTATGATCCAAAGACTCAGGCGTTTGGGAACGGGGGCCCTGTCTTCTGGCGGTCAGCATCCCCCGAGCCCATGAGGCCAGATGGCAGGGAAGAGGAAGAGGAAGAGGAAGAAGAGGCGAAGGCAGAGGAAGGTCTCATGCTACCTCCACACGAGTCACCTAAGGACGACATGGAATCTCATCTCGATGGCTCCCTCATTTCTCGGCGGGCAGTTTACGTGTGACCCCACGATGTAGACACTGGACACAGAGAAGCCAATTCCCACCCCCGCTGCCAACCACACCAACGCCAGCCAGCAACGGGATGGCTAGGGACCGGTTGGACTGGTTCTTCTGGGGCACACTGGAGTTGGAAGGCCACCTCCCCCGTTTCTGAATGGAGGACAAGTGGAGCCACACACCAGACTATCTCCAGGCCCTCATGAACCCCAAGAGCGCCATGGTGCACACTCAGGACTCCTCAGAGCTTGCTTTCGGCCCCAGCCTGGCCCTGGCCCCGAAACACTCAGGAGCTAATAAATGCCTTGTCAGAAAAACTTGGGGGTGTTTTGTGGTACATCAGACCCCTCTCTCTGTGTCCTGGGGAATGGGTGGGTGGGACAGAGACCACTAAGTATCGAGCCTTGGAAAGAAAATTTGGTGGGGGCCCAGATTGGGAGATGTCACACCACGTGTGCCCAAGCTCCCCAGAAGCTGCTAGGATTTAGACTGGGTCCCTGACTTGGAGGCTCTGAGACATGAGTGTGGGGAAGGGGGCTTGAACTCCTGGATCCCAGGACAGGTGGGGAAGCAAACTGGCTTCAGAGCTAAGTTTCTCAGGAAGAGAAAGGCTAGCTACCTTGGTCCTGAGTTCTAATGATCTGTGGGGTAGGGGTGGGGGTCCCACACAGGTCTCCTTTCTCTGTTGTCGAGGGCCCTAGGAATAGAAAGCTGCTTCTCTCTGTATTTGAGGACCTTGAGGCTAGAGACGTAGGTGCCAGGTGTTGGCAATACCCAGATGGTCCCACCTTGATGTCCTCACAGCGGCCCGTCCTGGGTGGCTGTCTCCCACCCTCCTGGCAGGATTTGGTCCTGTGGGGGTTACCAGGAATTCTGAGAGGCCTCACCACACTCATACCACATACACAGCACAGATATAACACACAACACACACACACAACATACATATACAGACGCACATACTCCTCCAGCTAGCAATCTTGACTCCAAGGGTCCCAAAGCATCTGCCCCTGGGAGAAGGAGGTGAGCTTATCCCCCCCCCCGTCTGTGGCCTCTTGGGACACTAGGATCAGATGACACCTTCCGGGTGGGTGGAGTAGCCAGGAGGCTTGGATACATGCACTTCCTCAATCAGTAGTCATAGATCCCAGAATGCCAAGCCTGTGTCCGCCATGCTGGGGACACCAAAGTGGCCCAGATCACAGCCCTGTCCTGTGGGAACGTGGCCAGCCAGCCAGCAACAATGACAGGAAGGACTGAGTGTCTGAGGTGGCCTTGTGTGCTGCGCTCCAGCTCGCTCACCCCTAACCCCGGCCCAGCACACACACTGGAACCTTCTGGAGGATGCCCCGCAGGAGAGCGGATGCTAACTGGGTCACTTCCTCTCCAAGTTCGGGAAGCACATTAGCTACACCAGTGACACCTCTAGTGTTTTGCATCCTTGTCTGTCCTGGGCATTCATTGAGGGGGGGGGGGTGTGCCATGCTCTCAGTCATGGAAGGCTGGGCTGGGGGGCGGCGCCATGCTCTCAGTCACGGAGGGCAGGGCAGGCAATCTGCTTGACTTCTGCTTGCGCACAGATCCCCCTTCTGTGCCAGCTTACGTGTCCGACCCAGGGCTACGGATCTAGTGAGGAAACGGGCCCTTGCTCCAGGACCTCCGCTGTTAGCTAAGAGGAGGCACCCTGAACAATGGGGAATGGGAAGTCGTGTGAGGTCTCCTGATGGGCCAGAAAACATGACGACGTTCCCATAGTGAGAGGTTCTGCTCCTGACACCACAGCATCCACATCCTTCCTCTCTCCTCTTCACTCTGTCCCAATACCACAGTCTCCTTGCTGTTCCTGTTTGTCTTTTGTTTTTTACGAGACAGTCTTCAAATGCTCGCTGCCAAGATTGGACTGGAAACCTCTTCCTACTGCTTCTCCCTTGTGTGTGGAGGTTGTTTCGTTTGAGACAGTCTTGGCTATGTGGCTCTGACTGTCCTGGAATTCACTGTGTAGCCTAGACTGGATTCATACTCTCAGCAATCCTCCTGCTTCAGCCTCTTGAGTGCTGGAATTATAGGTGCCCCTAAACTGTCACAACTGGCTCTCCTTGTTCCTTAAAAATATCCCGAGGCTGTCCCGGGATCTTTGCACTGGCTATTTCTCTGCAGTACACCCAGAGGTCTCAAAATCCCCCTTCACAGATAAGCCCTGTTTGCCTGGCTCTGGGGGTCCGCATTCTGTCACATCCTTGTTCCCCTTCCCACTCTGTAGTGAGTCCAGTTCCAGCTTGACCTTAGATGGCATCTGCTTGTTTGCTATCGGCCAGGGCCAGCCTGAGCTACCCTAAGACCCTGAGCATGAGGATGGGGACTTCGTGCATTTAGTTCACTTGCAGATCTCTTCCCATCCGCACAGATCAGGTGGTCCTGGATCAGGAGCACAGGGGCAGTTGGATGGAGCAAAGCCCCCGGCCATGGTTGAGTGGACAGGCAGAGGACGTGCTCAGGCATAGAGCGCTTGCCTAGCACGCTTGAGGCCCTGCATTCAGTTTCCTGTACAGACAAAGGAGACAAGGCAAGAAGGCAGAAGCATGGGCTCAGCCTGGGCTACACAGTGAGACTCCGTCTCTAAACAATCATTGAAAAGTCTGGCAAATGTGGGATGTGAGGAACGGGACTGAAAGCTGCAGCTCTGGGTTCCTCTTTTTTTTTTTTTTTTTTTTTGGTTTTTCAAGACAGGGTTTCTCTGTGTAGCTTTGCGCCTTTCCTAGAACTCACTCTGTAGCCCAGGCTGGCCTTGAACTAACTCACAGAGACCCGCCTGGCTCTGCCTCCCGAGTGCTGGGGTTAAAGGTGTGTGCCACCACCACCCGGCCTGAGTTCCTCCTAATGAGCCCTGTGCTGTCTTTGTCCTAACAGAGTCACCCAGCACAGCGGGAGCAGGGGCCACAGGCGGCATCATCGGAGGCATCATCGCCACCATCATTGCCACTGCAGTGGCTGCCACAGGCATCCTTATCTGCCGACAACAGCAGAAGGAGCAGAGGCTTCAGGGGACTGATGAGGAAGAAGAGTGAGTGATGGGATCCTGAGAAGTGGCTGGGAGGAGGGATGTCAGAGTTGGGGAGCACAGGGTGGGGACTGAAGAGGAAAATCACAAAGGCAGTGTGGGGCGGAGACACCATCATAAATGGCTGGGTTCTTCCATGCGGTGGTGAGGAAAGACTTTTCTCTTCCTCGGTAAGTATGGGTATGAGAAGCTGTCCCTGAGATGTCATCAGAGCCCAGGCCCCCACCGTCTTGTTGCTCCACCTTCCCCTGAGCTTCAGCTGCTAAGTGTGGGTTCCCATCACTTGGAAGGTAGAAGCCGGAGGATCAGAAGTTCAAGGTCATTCCCCCTCTGTTACATGACACTGTCTCAAAAAACAGCAATACAAAAAAAGAAAAAAGGGTGTACAGGCCCAGGGAGAGTCAGGTGGTAAGAACTTGAGTTCCCTACAGTATTTATTAAAAATAAGTAAATAAATCAGCCAGGTGGTGGTGGTGCACACTTGAAATCCCAGCATTCAGCGGCAGAGGTAAGCAGATTTCTGAGTTCAAGGCCAGCCCGGTCTACAGAGAGAGTTCCAGGACAGCTAGGGCTGTTTTGGGGGGAAAAAATATTTTTATTTTCTCTGTGTGTTTGCTTGGATGTATGTCTGCACTCTTATATGTGTGCCTGGTACTCTAGAGGGTCGTGAGTTGCCATGTGGGTCTCAGGAATTGAACCTGTGTCCTTTGAAAAAGCATTAAGTGCTCTTCAGGAGCCACCTCTCCAGACCTTCATTTTTCCTACACTGTGGACCAGACTGACCTCAAACTTGCAGAGATCCTCCTACCTCTGCCTTCTAAGTTCTGGGAGTAAAAGAGCGCAGCTCCATGCCTGGCTCATTGTCTACATTTTATAAAACTGATATTATTATTGTGTGTTTGTGCACATGGACATAGATGCCTTGGCCTTGGCCTGGGTGTGGAGGCCAGAGGTCCTTTTTTGTTTTTGTTTGTTTGTTTGTTTTTTGAGAGGGTTCTCCATTTAGCCTTGGCTGTCCTGCAATTTGCTCTGTAGACCAGGCTGGCATCGAACTCAGAGATTCCCCCTACCTCTTCCTCTTTTCCTGAGTGCTGGGATTAAAGGTGTGTGCCACCACTGCACATCTTAAATTCAGGTTTTCAAGACCTTTATCTGCTGAGCCAACGTGCTTGCCATGTTTATTGTTGCTTTGTTTTGTTTTTAAGATTTATTTACTTAGTTGGATGGTGGTGGCACATGCCTTTAATCCCAGCACTGAGGAGGCAGAGGCAGGCGGATCTCTGAGTTCAAGGCCAGCCTGGTCTGCAGAGCAAGTCCCAAGACAGGAGGGATACATAGAGAAATGTCTTGAAAACAAAACAGGAAGGGCTGGAGAGATGGCTCAGAGGTTAAGAGCACTGGCTGCTCTTCCAGAGGTCGTTGAGTTCAATTCGCAACTACCACATGGTGGCTCACAACCACCTAGGATGAGATCTGGTGCCCTCTTCTGGCCTGCAGGCATAATGGAGGAAGAACACTGTGTACATAATAAATCTTAAAAAAAAAAAAAAAGAGAAAAAGTGAAAAAAGAAGATATTCTTTTGTGTGTGTGGGTGTGTGTGTCTGTGTCTGTCTCTGTGTATGTGTGTGCCCTCAGAGGCCAGAAGACCTTGACTCTGAGAGCTTGAGTTACAGGCTGTTGTGAACCCCTAATGTGGGTGCTGGGATCTCAACACGGGTCCTTTGGAGGAACAGCCAGTGCTCTTGCCCACTGAGCATCTCGCCCGCCCCCTTTTAGAAGTTTAGCCCATGGCTACCTTGAGCCCCTTGTGTGTGTGCGTGTGTGAATGCTATCTAGTTAGAGGTCAAAGGAGTCTCTATTTCCGCCATCTGGGTGTCAAGTCATCAGGTTTGGTGACAAGTCCCTTCACTCACTAAACAGTCTTACCTGCCCCATTATGTGTCTTCCCTCCGTGTGTGGATACACACTTAATCAAGTATCTGTTACTGGACATGTTTGTACGTAGAGAGAGCAGAGGGCAGCCTTGAGTGGCATTCCCCAGGCTCCATCCACCTTGGTTTGTTTTTGAAACAGGGTCCCACTGTGTGGCACTCGTCGCCTGGAACTTACCATGTAGACAGAGCTGGCCTTACACTCAGCCCCTCCTTAGTGCTGGGATTACCCGTGTGTGCCACACACCTGGCTCACTTCTGTGAATGAGAATTCTTCCCAGAGGGGTCTGGGATGCCAGGACTGAGTCTCACTCAGTTTGACTCCCTCGGAGCACTGGGGTGGGGGCAGGGATGGTGCTGAAAACCACAGGAAGAAAAACAGCCTTTTGGCGCTGATCCAGCAAGTGGCCAGACTGAGGTGGGGAGGGGGGTTGCGCGCTAACCTCCCTTGATCTGACTCCCACCCCTGACCCTGCAGACTGGAAGGACCTCCCTCCTATAAGCCACCGACTCCCAAGGCCAAGTTGGAGGAACCAGAGATGGTGAGATGTTCTTCTGGAGCTCCAGTTAACCTGCCTCCCTTCCCACTTTTCCTCCCTGGGGTCCATCCCAGAAGGGGGCTGTTGGGCTGGGTGGACAGGGCTGGTTGGGAAAGGCCACTGTGAGGGGTCCTGACGTACCCTTATGTCATGCCACAGCCCTCCCAGCTCTTCACACTGGGGGCCTCGGAGCACAGCACAATGAAGACTCCATACTTCGACGCCGGTGTCTCTTGTGCTGATCAGGTGGGAGTTTCCGGGTAAACAATGGTGGGTTTAGGGCTGGGTTAAGGGTCAAGGCGGGATTGAGTGGAGTGACTCAGAGCATCTGAGTAGCCCAGGGTCTGTGCCTGCGGCAGAGATACCATCATAGAGCCATTTCCCTGGAGTCCCCTCTATGGTGGAGACAGGATTCCCCTGGGGTCCCCTCTATGATGGACACATCCATTCCTCCGGGGTCCCCTGGATGGTCAGAGTCAAAGGAGGCCAAAGCAGCTTGAGGTTTAAACTTGATTATCACTCAAGGTTAAATAAAGACTGAGGTCAGGCTCGGCAGTTCCTGTCTGTGATGCCGACACTTGGGAAGCTGAAGCAGAATCACCAAAAATTTGGTGGCTTCAACCAACCTGTGCTGCGTAGTGAGTTCAAGGCTAGCATGAGTTAAAGAGTGAGACTTTGTTTCAGAATAGCCAAGAAGAGCAACAGGATTGAGGACTTCCGAAGCTTGTCTTGTGGTCTTGAGGACCAGAGCTGGAGTTTGAATTGTCTGTGACTGAGCATTGAGGGTCAGATACCTTTTTCTGGCCTTTGTACGTACACACGCAGACACACGCAGACACAGACACAGACACAGACACAGACACACACACACACACACACACACACACACACACACACACACACACACACGGTGAGAAAGGATTGAAGCCGAGCCTGGTGTGAAGACAAACACCTGTAATCTCAGTACTTGGGAGGGAGTCTCAGGCACGATTACCACTGTTTGAGCCCAACCCATGCCACATAGTGAGGCCATGATTGAAAAAAAAAAAAAGTCAAGCTGATCACAATAGTGCATTGTCCCAATACTAAGGAGATGGAGGCAGGAGGATCAGGACTTCAAGGTCATTCCTGGCTACAAAGTGAATTTAATTAAGGACACCCTGAGCAACTTGAGACCTTGTCTCCAAACAGACCAAACAATTGAGGTCAGGCCGGGCTATAACTGGGTTGGTACAGTTTGCCCAGCATGCACAATGCCCTGGGTTCAATCCCAAGCACTTTGTAACTGTGGTCCTAGACCTGTGCTTCGAACCCTTGGGAGGGAGGCAGGCAGATGTCTGGGAGTTCCAGGCCAACCTGGTCCACCAGAACAGTCAGGGCTATGTAGAGACCCATTCTCAGAGAAGAACAACAGAGGGAAATCAGAAGTCCAAGGTCAGTCTGGCTACATAGTAAGTTCAAGGCCAGTCTTCTATACAGGAGACCTCGTCTCAAAAAAAAAAAAAAAAAAAAAAAAAAAAGAGGGTGAGCGGTGGTGGTGCATGCCTTTTTTTTTTTTTTTTTTTTAAGTTTGTAATTATATTTATGTACAGAAAAGTTAGCAGTGTACATTTAACCTGATCTAGTGGCGAGTTCATTGGCCTTTGCCTTTTCCAGGGCACGTGCCTTTAATCCCAGCACTCACTGCTTGTTAAGAGCACATTTGCTGTTCTTCCAGAGACCCGAGTTCAGTTCTCAGCATCTGTATTAGACAGCTCACATTACTCCAGCTTCAGGGGATCCGCGGCCTTCCTCCAGCCTCCTTGAGTACACATGTGATGTCCACACATACCCATTTAAGAAAAAAGAAGCCAGGTTTGATGGTCACACCTTTAATCCCAGCACTTGGGGGCAGAGGCAGGAGGATCTCTAGCCTCTGTGAAGCCAGCCTGGTCTATGCTGAGTTCCCCATCAGTCAGGACCACACAGTGAGACCCTATCTGAAACAAAACAAAACCAACAACTGCTGGGCATAGTGGCCTATGCCTTTCATGTCAGCACTCATGAGGCAGATCTCAGAGTTCGAGGCCAATCTGGTCTACAGAGTGAGTTCCAGGGCAGCCAGCGCTACATGGCAGACCCCAGTAGAGGTCAGATGTTCTTGTGTAAGGATGTGGGTTCAGGGATGAGGGAAGAGGACTGACGCAGTGAGGAGGTCAGTGCTGGGTATGGGTGTCCACACCAAGCAGTTCAGCCCAGGGAGAAAGGATGACGGGGTAGCTGAGTCTGGTCGGCATGGGGCAAGGATGGCTGGAATCTGGCCAAGGGGCAGATCAGGGACAGTATCCTGAGACTGAGGTGACCTTGAATCCCTGCTTGCTCTCCACTTCTAGGATATGCCTCGGTATCATGAGCTGCCCACCCTGGAGGAGCGGTCAGGGCCCCTGCTCTTGGGGGCCACGGGCCTGGGACCTTCTCTTCTGGTGCCTTCAGGACCCCCCGTTGAGAGGGTTTCCCTGGGTCTGGAAGACGAGGAAGACGAGGAGGAAGACTTCCTGGATAAAATCAACCCTATTTATGATGCTCTGTCCTACTCCAGCCCCTCCGACTCCTACCAGGGAAAAGACTTTTTTGTCTCGCGGGCCATGTATGTGTGAGGCGCAGGGGCTCTGACCTCCCACCTTTCACCCTTGACCCCTCAGCTTTCCACCAGTGACCTGGGACACTCTGACTTGCAGCCAAGCCAGGGTCAGCTGTCTGTCACCCCTGCAGTCCACCTATGTCTTGTTTAGTGGCTCCGCCATGACCTCCAGCTTACGATTTCTGACCCAGATAAACCTGCATGACTGGAAACCTGGAAATTTTATCTCCCGAGGCAGGGAGCTCGGACCTCTGCATCACCTCTGACCCCTCAAGGACTCCTAAGACTGTGCCCCTCTGACCATGCCACTCACTGCCCACCTCTATCTCAACTACCCACGCAGTCCCAAAGAAGACCTTGGACTTGTCCTCAGGCAACAGAGTCCCCACAGGTCTGCAAAGAATGGGGTCAGGGGTTCCCTGCTGCTCAGACCTGAGCCCTCCAGGCAGCAGAAGCCCACCTGACCTCTCCCCATCCTCCTCCCCAAAGATGAAAAGGAGAGGACTCCCCAGGGTAAGGTAGGACCTCCCCATCTCCACCCACTCCTGCGGGCAGGAATCTCAGGGTTCACACCCTCTCCTCATCACACGGTACCCCAGTTCCTGTCTCCAGAGCATGAAGCCCAGGCAGTGCTGGAGGGGAGAGCCTAATGCAAGTGTGCCTTGCCACCCCAGGTTTGAGAGATTTCCTCTTATTTAAAGACTACTGAAACCTTTGAACCCCTACCCAGTGAGAGAAGTACACATCCCTCTTTAGGGGGAGGGGTGTGTGTGAGATGGGGCATCTGGGCATCTGGGTTGGGAGTTTGGGCAACATTATTTTGTAAGCATTTCCTACAAAATATGAGTTTATACTTTGATAAAGTCTCGTGTTTTCTGTGAGAAGTGAAGGGAGTGGGGTGGGCTAGGACATGAGGGAAATGAGAAAGGCATGGAGCCTCAAGGCCTCGGCGAGCTATAAGTCAACACAAGATAGATTCCCCCCAAAGACCACAGGTACCCCAGAAACTGATCATAGTAATAAGCAAACCACATCAACTAAAACAAAACGATAAGGCAGAGCCAGGCGGATCTTTGTGAGTTCGAGGCCAGCCTGGTCTACAGATCGAGATCCACGAAAGGCACAAAGCTACACAGAGAAATCCTGTCTTGAAAAACCAAATAAATAAATAAATAATAAAACAAAACAAAACGATAGGGTTGCAAGAGGTGTCTAACATGCACACTTGAAAGGAACGGCTACAACAGCTGCCTAATGATTAACAGCTCAGAGTCATGGAAACAGACATAAAGATACCAGTAACCGGCCAAGAGGGGCCAATAGCAAATAACAGGTTAAGGGCACCTGAGAGGCTGAGGCAGAAAGATCGCCTACAATTCAGGGCCAGATTGGAATTACATAGTGAGTTGGAAAGGGGGTCATTAAAAAAAAAAATAGGTCATGAGGAAAACATTTCCAACGAAGCCCTAAGGCGTAACGGGTAACGTAGCTAAATGAATGAGCCAGAGGCAAAGAGATGAACAGGGGCTGTGGGTATACTGGGTAATAGCCAGGAGGCAAAAGATTCCAAGACGCCGGGCAGTGGTGGCGCACGCCTTTAATCCCTGCACTCTGGAGGCAGAGGCAGGCGGATCTCTGTGAGTTCCAGGCCAGCCAAGGCTACAGAGCGAGATCCAGGAAAAGCGCAAAGCTGCACAGAGAAACCCTGTCTCGAAAAACCAAAAAAAAAAAAAAAAAGAAGAAGAAGAAAAAGATTCCAAGACAAGACGGTTAATCAGAGAGAGGCCGGAAGGAAGGACGGTGCGCGTGAACCATGCAGAAATGGGCTAAACCGGGTCGAGGAAACGAAGCGCAATGAATGGGGGACTGAATGCTGGGTAATGGGAAAGGAATGAATGGGCCAAAGATAGAAGCCCGGGTGACGCGGGGCAGACGGCATGACGGGTAACCACAGGGGTGGGCGCACGGCAGCTGTTGCACGGGGAGGGGGAAGGCCGGCCTGGAGGGCAGGCAGAGGCAGGGCAGCGTCCACAGGACCGATTTCAGGTTTCCCCGAGGCACTGCGGGGAGCGGCAGCACTTCCGGCTCCCCCCTCGGCGACCCAGCCCCTGCACCGCGGGGCCCGGCGGGGCGCGAGAGCTGACCTTGCTGCCTAGCAGCGTCTGCGGCGCAACGCACCTCTGCCCACGGCCTTTGACCCGGGCCCCTTAGCCAATGAGCTCCCTAACGGAAACGTCACCGAGGTCGGCCCCCCAGACGTGCTGTGGCCAATCAGCACGCGGGCTGAGCCGAGCCCCGCCAATGGCCACGGCGTCTGCTAGGGCGGGGCTCCGCGCCCCCGGGCGGATGGTGGGGCAATGGGCAAGTAGGCGTTGCAAAGCGAGCGGGATCGACGAATGGCGAGGCCGCTCCGGACCCGCGGCGCCGCGAACCAATGGGCGCGGGGCGTGCGAGCCAATGGGGAAGGCGAGGGAGCCGCACGGCCCGACGGCGAGCAGAAACCAATAGAAATGGCAGCTTCGGCGAGAGGGGCGGTACTTCCTGCCAGAACTCCAATGAAAAGTCCTGCTTCTAGGGTAATGGGCGGGGCCCGGAGGACGATGCACCAATGGGCTCCAGGGGGCGGGTAGACAGCCGCGGCGGCGGCAGTGGGTTCGGTTGCGCGTAGCGCACGGGGCAGGAGCGGAGCCCAGGCCGGGAACAGGCGCCGCCGCCGCCGCCGGTGAGAGCCGGGGCCGAGTGGGTGGGAGGGGGCCGGGTCCGCATCCGGGGGTGTGTGTGCGCTTCCGTGTGTGGGCCCTGACCTCTGCCCTCTGCCCTCTCCCCTCGCAGATACCATGGGGAACGTGCTGGCTGCTAGCTCTCCTCCCGCAGGGCCCCCGCCGCCTCCGACGCCGTCCCTCGTCGGGCTGCCGCCGCCGCCGCCTTCGCCGCCGGGCTTCACGCTGCCGCCGCTCGGGGGCGGCCTGAGCACTGGGTCGAGCGCGGGCCGAGGCTCAGAACGGACTCCCGGGGCTGCGGGCAGCGGCGCTGCGGGGGCCTCGGACGATGGGGGCTGCGGCTGCCTCCCCAACCCGGGCACGTTCGAGGAGTGTCACCGGAAGTGCAAGGGTGAGGGGTGCCGGGCCCCGATCGCCCGCGGGGAGGGGGAAGGACCCCCGGAGGGAGGTTGGCGCGCGTCGGTGCAATCCTGGAACAGAGTGTTAGGGGTTGAGGATGGGGTGGGACGCTGGGACCTTGAACTCGGGGTTTCGGAACTGCAAGCGGTTGGTGAACTCCCTGGGTGGGGAAGAATGCCACAGCGGGAGAGAAAAGTCCTGGACACTGAGAGCCCCGGGACCAACCCCGCCAGACTCCTTAGTGTGATCAGGAAAGGAATTATGGCCCAAGGTCACTGTGTCAGCAAGGTGTTCCCCAATGTTCTGTGAGGGGTGCCACCAAAGGGCTCTGGATCCCGGCCTAGAATCATTTTGATCACAAAGGAGATACACTTTTATCTTTGATACTGAAATATGTGTCAACTTATTAAATACTTGGAACAGTTCCGTGTGGTAAGGATCCCCATTGTAGGGATGAGGGATTTGGCAAGAAAGTGAGTTCCCTAAATTCAGGTGATTGCACTGGGTTTTAGAAACAGCCAGAGGGCCTAGCCCTGTTCACCAGGCAGAGTTTTCTCTAGTGGAGGGATGTTTCATGAGATGTGGGTCTCTGGAGAGAGCTGGGGATGGGAGGGAAGGAGGGGAGAATTTGGGGTGACAGCATCTCTCTCCTGCAGAGCTGTTTCCAGTTCAGATGGAGGGTGTCAAACTTACAGTCAACAAAGGGTTGAGTAACCGTTTCCAGGTAAGTCTTTCTGGCGCCTGGACCCTCCAGAGATCATAGCAGATCCCCTCACTCTCTTAGAGGACTGGGCTTTGGGGTAGGTAACAAGATTTAGATAACAACATTCCAGTGGCCCGTGCTTCAGATCCCAGCACTGGCAGGGGCTGAAGCAGGGAGATCCTGTCCCAGACCCGCCTTGGGATGCCCCTGTATCAAAACATAAAAGGGAAGTGAACAATAAGACTCTCATACATTCCAGGATGATTACTCAAGGGGAGTGGGAAAGTCTGGGTTTGGGGCCCCAGCATTCAAAGGTACCCCTTACCCTGCAACTTCAAGCAGGGGTGCAACCCTAGCCCCACTTGTCTCCCAGGCAGCCTCTTGATCTCATCAGGTCAGGCCTGGTGTTCGTTTTGTTTATCCCCCGGGTTGGTACCCTGGGCATTGATGCTGCTAAGCGTGGCTTGCCGCCCAGTGTTCGCTTCCCAGCTCTACCCCCCTAGTTTTCATCCCCAGAACTCGGTCTTTGAATCTTCAAGTGGATAAGCCAGCCTTGCCAAGACCCCACAACTCACTCTCTTCTCCCAGGTGACCCACACAGTAGCCCTCGGCACAATTGGGGAGTCCAATTACCACTTTGGGGTCACGTACGTGGGGACGAAGCAGCTGAGTCCCACAGAGGTAAGGTTCCTTCTGGTCATTCTTCTGGCGAATTCTTCCATGAAGGGAATAAATGGACAAGTGACAGGCTTGGGCCTTGGAAGGGAGGAGGTGTTGGGACAAGCCAGGTATAGGACCTGGAATGTCAAATTCTGTGCTCGGATGTCCTCTAGGGGGCGCTGGAGAGCCACAGAAAGGTTGGACAGGGGAGGAAAGCAGGGTCAGATGGTATGGGTGTGCTGCTCATGCTGCCCTGGCAGGGGGCGGATGGGGGACGTGGAGGCTTCAGGAGGGCTGGACACTGGTGCTGAGTCTGCTGGTGTTACCTGTTGTGTTTTTGTTTTTGGAGACAGTCTCATGCCCTGGCTGGGCTTGAGCTATGGTTTAGGATGATCAGTCCTCGTGTCTTTCCCTCCCCAAGTGCTGAGGTTTCAGGGATAAGTAACCATGTGCTGGGGATCAAACCCAGGGCTTGCTAGACAAGCACTCTTACCAACTGAACTATATCCTCGGCCCTTACCTCTGCGCTTTCGTGTAGCATGCACCTGTGCAGGTGCCTCTTCCCACCTTTGCGTTTGCAAGGGCCAAAACAGAACATCTGATCTGTAGCTCACCATTTGTGCTGAACTGGCTGGCCAGCCAGCTCACGGGACCTACCATCTCTGCAGTGTTGGAGTTACGGGCATGAGCAGCCATACCTGGTGCTTATGCAAATACTGGGGATTTGAACTTGGGTTCTCATACTTGCATGTAGGAGAGCTCTTACCTATCAAGCCCTGGCTGGACTAGAACTCTATGTAAACCAGGCTAGTATTCCACACCGGGGCTCTCTTGCCTCTGTCTCCCAAGTGCTAGGGTTAAAGATGTGTGCCGCCATGCCTGGTACTTAAACTCTCCATTCATTATTCCACCATCAGCAGATCAGAAGGTCCGGCCACTGTCAAGGAATGAATGCCTCCTGCAGCTGCCTTAGAGTAGCGCGGGGACCCGCTTGGCACCGCCCATCTGTAGCAGCCTCCTAGTGTTCTGAGGCAGAAAGTCTGAGCTGCACTCTGACTCCCATTTATTTGTGTGTGGGGAGGCCTATGAGGGTAGAGGACAACTTCCCAAGAGTCATTTCTTTGGTTTCTCCTCGTGTGTCCTGGGGATTAAACCCATGTCCTCAGGCTTGGGTGACACCCTTCCTACTGAGCCGTCTCATTGGCCCCTTGAGATGTGTTTGGAAGAGTGGAGGGGGTGGTTGTCTCAGAGTCAAAGCCTGGAGATTGAAGTCCCCAGGTAGGGGAAGCGAATGGCCTGTAATAGTTGGAGAAGAAGTATGTGATTATGGCAGAAAGGATGTGACACCAGGAACAGGACACTGCCGTGAAGGTGTGTTGTC